TAGCGAAAAATTTGAGTAATTCAACTGGCAAATACCACCTCTGACTGGCCCTGCCCCCATCGATTCTCTGCCTTCCAAGTCCCAGCTGAGCGGCTGGGTCTTGTTGCCCTGCATAGGAGAACGGAGCTGGAAAGCAGGTTAGTAGGGTGGGGAGGGAATGGAGATTTTACGGTATCCTTCCCCTACCATGCCCACCAAGCCAAGCCACGCCCACCAAGCCACACTCATGGAACCAGTAGTGAAAAAAATTGAATCCCACCACTGCCCTATTGCAAAACCCTGAACAGAGTATCCTACAACGTGATGCATCTAGATGCTTCTCTTAACCATTTGTCCCATGTGGTTAGATAAGTATGCTTGCTTGCACTATGTTTGCTTAGTTCTTAAAGCAAAAATATCAGTGCATGGTGCAAGAAGAAATAGTGTTTATCAATTGATTTTGTTGCAGAGAATGACACTGATTTAAGGGCCAAGGAGGAACAATTGGCCCAAAGTCACTCAGCTGACTTCAGTGTTTAAGGGGGAACTAGAAATTGGTCTCCCTGGCTCCTACAGTATCACATTAACCATCATACCACATTGACTCTCAGCTGTGTACATCTCTGTATAGTAGATAGAACACAGAAAGGGTAAAATAGGTTATTTGAGATGAATGGTTCTTCTGCTGATGGGTAGCTTTAGACCTGATGCTATTTCTGAAGATTAAAAAAAAATGGGTGCTGCTACTCAGGAGAATTTTTTTCATTCATTTTCTAGCCTCTTCAACTTCACTTAAAAGCTGTTTGGACAAGTTGGCATAGGACTAGATCATATGGTTTAGTGGGAAGATTAGTGGGATCAGTATCTCACTCAAAAGCCTTATTCCTTCCATGTAAAGATTTCATTCACTGATAAGATGAATAATAAATTCAATGAACAATAATACCAAGGAGCACTGTCTTTAGCCCCATTTCCACATGCCAGGCATTCAGTGAGAAGTATGAAAGGGGGCTTCTGTGTATGTAAAGTTGTAGATGAGCACACAAGTCAGACTCATGGTGCAAATCCAAAAAGCTCTCCTTTCTTCTTGCTGCTGAAAGCAAGAATGCTCCTGCCTCCTATTTTTCCCATAATCCTGTGAGGTAGGTTAGGCTGAGGCTTGATAGAAATAAGTACTCATTATTCCATTCCCAAGAGTAAAGTTAAATAACACCAACACTACTAAAAGTGATTGATTTAAAGAAGTAAAATAATGACATTCTAAACCATCTAGATTCTATGTTTAATCCCAGTTTGGAGTTTTTTTTCTGCAATTGAACAGAACTATGAACTCTAACAAAGGCTATCTGTTAAATGTTCTCATTTTACCATTTGTATTAACATAACCTCGTACTCCATCAATATAAATAATTCACAGCATAGTTGCACAGTTCTCTACATGCCTTTTCTGCAGTAAATTCTGCTGTGAGAATGTACTTGTAAGAAATGTCTGTAAGATTGCCCCTTGATTGTATGAAATTTCATTTAAATCCACTTTGAATTTAGGAACCAAAAGAGGAACATTTTGCTTATTATTACATTTCCAGTTTGGTAATTGCATCTGTTTTCTTAAGGCATAATGGCTTTTGGAAATGGTGTAAACAGAGGTTTTCTAACAGCATGTATAAATAAGGGCATTAAACACTGTTAAATAAATCAGAAATCCTAGATTATTCTTTAGGTATTAGCAATACACCATCGGGTTTACAGTGTGACCCAAGAGACGCTGTGTGAAAGTTAAGTGTCACTAAAGTCAGCCAGATTTAATTTTGAGATTAATTTTGTTGATTGTTAATACTAATCTTCTACATATTACTGCAAAGTCATGGTTCCCACTATATATTTTCACCCCTGTATATCAGCTACCACCTCTCTGACCAGATTTGAAGGAGGCAAAAACAGAATATAGTTGTTTTACACTATGGACATTGTGTTTTATTTAGCACTCCGTAGAGCTCACCTAGTGAGAACTTCTTTGGTAACATTTTTATATGATCTGATATGGAAAAATACTGAATGCTTCTTTTCAACACATTGAAGAAATGCAGATAAAAGCTTCCCAAACCCAAAGAACCCCTACTGTTAAAAAAAGCTGTTTTTAAGGATGCGAACTAGCTAGTTTTCCTAATAGTTTCCTTGTCAATATTCTCTTTTGTTAGACATGGTACATGATATTACTAAATTATAAATCTGATTGTTGATTAAAATAAATACATTGATTGACATTTTTGTAGGTGGGTAAAACTGTCAACAATGCTCCATTTTTATTAAGCTAGGTTGAAGGACATGGATAAGAGCTCTGAACTGAGCTCTGGAGAAAAAAAATTCAAGAATATTTTCCTAATTCTTTTTGCATGCAATATGCTAAATAAGTGGGGGTTTGGTTCCCCCCCCAAAACATTTATGCTCTTTCTGTACAACTAACTTACTGTAACTTACCTCATAAAAGTTAGTGGGTCAGATTTAACTAAAACTTGGTGATGGGAACAGGGACAGTGAGAGGATAAGGAATTCTGGAGATATAAATTAAACTGGGAAGTTAAAAAATACCTTGGAAGAATGTAGTGACAAACCACTTCCATAATATTGCCCCAAAATGTAATTGTACAAAGTCAACATGAAGAACTCTTTAAGTTACTTTATTTAAAAACATTTCATTTGGTATATTGGTTTTAGCCATTTTGAAAACCTGTCCACGGGCTTTTCAAATTGAGACTTAGAAACACTGAAAACAAGATGAAGCATTTCTTACAATTGAAGCTCTGAAATTTTGTTAAACTTACATATATGGCTTTGCTTTGAAAACTTCATAACAGGCATACATTTCAAGTCCTTAAGGTCTACTTCAAATAGGTACAGTATATGTTGTGGTTCCGTGTTCAGTTGGAAAAAAATAAATCTGTCAGAAGACTGTGAAGGAACTTCAATTTTATATCTGCCTCCCCCTCACCTCTGTTCATGTGCTGTCACCATAAATTACCATAAGGATGATTGGTTTCACTTATCCAGGTCAATAAACGTTGCATATTACAGATCTACAATAAATATGAGATAAGCTTTTATGTAAATAGTTCATCACTGAACAAAGGTTTTAATGCAGTTACTTTCATCATAAATTATTTTATGCTGCTATTTTCATAATAAAATTGACCATTGCAATACCAGTGATTACAACTCTCTTGAGAATTGTAATCATAGATACTACAACGGTCAATTTCATTATGAAAATAGCAGCATAGAATAAATTATGTTGAAACTAGCTGCATTAAAATCTTTGTCCAGTGATGAAAGATTGCACGTGCGTGCATACACACTCACGCACACACACACACGGCAAGATGCAATGGATGAAAACTAATCAAGGAGAGAAGCAACCTAGAACCAAGGAGTAACTTCCTAACAGTGAGAACCACGGGTGGGATCCTACCAGTTCAGTCTGGTTCTATAGAACCAGTAGCTCCAAAGAGCAGCTGACACCAAAGTGGTTCTTTGGGATGAGGTTTTGGTCTGCTGTTTGCCCACCCGCCCGCCTGAGCTCTAGGCTGTCCTTTAGTGGCTGTGTTTTCCTCATCAGTTGCTTTGGGCGGCACAGCTGAGTGCCACTCGTCAGCTGGAGAAGGTAAATGCTTGCCGGAGTTAGTGCGCACGCGCATGCAACATGCATTTGACACGCATGCACGCACTCCCCGAACCGGTTGTTATGCCGGTCGGATCCCACCCCTGGTGAGAACAATTAACCAGTGGAACAGCTTGCCCTCAGAAGTTGTAGGTGCTTCATCACTGGAGCCTTTTAAGAAGAGACTGGGAAGCCATTTGTCTGGAACAGTATAGCAGGGGTGTCAAACTGGTGGTCCGCAGGCCAGATGTGTCACACGCAGGCCATACCCATCCCAGCTTCACAAAGGTAAAAAACATTGTGATATATTACATGACATGATCGAGTTTGACACCTGTGGTATAGGGTCTCCTGCTTGAGCAGGGGTTTGGACTAGACAACCCCCAAGGCCCCTTCCATCTCTCTTATTCTATAAACAGAATGTATTTTTTTTCTGTAGGATCAATGGCACCATAAAGTGCCTTGTAGATCAGATTGCATGCTGATTTCTATTTTAAAATTCTTTTACTAAGTTACATCAAACACTGGGTATGAACAAAATCAACAGCAAAACCCCTTTTGTCCTGTTGAACTCACGATGAAATATTACGTAATTATATACAGTACAGTCATCCAAAGTTAATTTCATATTTCTAGAGTCCTACATGATACAGTTATTCTGAAATTATATTTGTGTTCAGTATGAAGGTGTCTACCATAATCACCAAAAGTTTTTCAAAAAGTAAAACTATTGGGAAAAACAACATTGTCATCCAATGCAATTGGTACCAACATTTCTGTTGTTACACTGGATCAATTGTGTAATGATAAATCCAGATGGGGATTACTTTTTTCAAATGCATAGAGAAATCTTGTTTATTTTTTTCTAAGAATTCTTTCTCCATCTTCCTCCCAGCAATGATTGAACTGATTATTCAAAGGCTGATTCATACAACCATTGAAAATGTGGTTTGTCACATTTTGGAGAATCCACAGGTTTTTGTGTTAGCATGTTCAGTGATGCTGAAGGTAACATAAAGACATTCCGGATGAATATTGATTCTGTTTATTGAACAAAATGTAATGCAGTTTGAAAGAAAGAAGTATTGAGTTGTTCAAATGATATTGAGCTGGACCATCTGGAACAATTACTATTATGATACGGTCTCATCTGAATAGCTGCTGTTTAACTTTCCCAATCTTAACTCTTTTAAACCTAAAGAAACATATGCGTGTACTTACAATAGGTAAAGTCATCATATTTCATGAAATCTATCACTTTGAAATCTTGAAACATTGTCTACGCATAGCAAAACAATGGCTTATCTTCTATCATCTGAACATGATTGGTTAGCTTAAGGCCATCTTTGTTTTTATCTGTTGACAGATACACACTGGTGGATATTTTACGTGCCATCCTTCTTTCATTAGAAGCTATGATCGAGGACCCAGAACTTCAAGTAAATGGATTTGTTTTGATTATAGACTGGAGTAATTTCACTTTCAAACAGGCTTCTAAGCTGACACCAAGTATGCTTCGATTAGCCATAGAAGGCCTTCAGGTAAAATGGTTTTAAGCATTATTCATATTTCTTTTACTCTTCTCGCTCCAGGCATCTCTTTTTAGTTTTTCCTGACTGTTTCATGTCTTTAAAAATCTAACGATCTGTTTTTTGCAATCTTAAAAATTGAGATTTTAGATGTTTATGTATATTGTGGAATTTGAGAATGAATTCTAAAGAATCAGTTTGCTATCTAAGTAGTTCATCAAACTTACAACACTCATGATTTAAAGGTCTTATTTGATTTCTCAAATTTAGGAGCTCTAAATTGTTATTAAGAGTTGGAATATAATAAAACAGGCCAAGCAAGCAGATATATTACTGGGTTATATATCTTACTTTATTATTCTGAAGTGAGGTTCTTTGTACAGTGAGAGCTACCATCAAGTGCTATACATTATGGAACAGTGAAGACATCTATGCATTGCTACCGTGTTTCTCATATAATAAGGCCGGGTCTTTTTTTTTTGAGCCCCGAAAAAACGGCTAGGCCGTCTTTTCGGGGGTGACTTAATTCCCCCCCTTGCATCCTCAGGCAGGCGGGTGGCAACGGCTTGGATGTTGACCTCGGCAAGCCAGGCGGGCTGGGCAGAGCTGGGAAAGCGAGCTGCGGGTGCGTGCCCGCCTGCCAAGCGAAAGAGCCGAGCCGACCCGAGCCGACCCGAGCTTGGCTTCCCAAGACCCTCCAGCCCAACCCTGAAGGGGCCACTGGGAGAGGCTGCCCGAGGCAGTGATAGTGCCCACCCATCCGTGGACAGGGAGGCAAGGCGACGGCCCGCAACACATCCTCCTCCGAGCTGAGCCCTACCAAGTGAGCGCCAATGCCCGATGCCCATGCCGCTGCAGCATTTGGAGGTGACAGGCGGCTTTGGGGTCTCTCCACTGGACCCGCCGGCCAGGGAAGCAGTGCTGCTGTCGCCTCGCCTCCCTGTGCACGGACGGGTGGGTGCTATCACTGCCTCGGGCAGCCTCTCCCAGTGGCTCCTTCGGGGTCAGGCTGGAGGGACTTGAGAAGCCAAGCTTGGATCGGCCCAGCTCTTTCGCTTGGCGGGCGTGCACCCGTGGCTTGCTTTCCCGGCTCTGCCCAGCCCGTCTGGCTCCGGCGCTGTCCTGGTGGGGTGAGCAGAGGGCCTGGCGGGGAGGCACTCACTGCTTTGGCCAGAGCTCTGCCGCCGGGCAGGAGGGCCCGCCTGTCAGCTGAGCTGAGCGCCCCAGGTGAAGCTCTTCGTGCTTTCCCCAGCGCCAGGCAGGGATGGCGGCTGGGCACTTCTCCCGGGGTGGGCCAATTCTGCACTTATGGCCCCGGGAGATTCTCCTCCCCACGTGGGGTTGGGCTGCCCTCTCAGGCAGGGGAGGCTTTGTCATACCGGTAGTAGGGCGTCGTTTTTAAAAGAATGGGCTTTGCCTTCGAACGATGCCCGGGAAGGCGGCGACAGGAGTACCTGAAGCTGAGTGTCTCCGCCGGGCTCCGGTTGCAGGGAGGAGCCCTGGCCGGCCATGTGTGGCTGCGTCAAACGCCACGGCATTGCTCTAAATGCCGTGGCAGCATGGGGAGAAGGGAAAGCAATGGTGGCGGAAGGTCTCCCGATGTGAAGTGCCCCACCAACACCGAGGTCAACGCAGGCAGCACCATATCCGGGTGTGCAACAAAAGTATTTCCTAACGTCAAGCCCCCCCTGCCATTGCCCCCCATTTCACATGTTTTAATATAGGCCTTAACTTGGTGGGGAGGGGCTTAATTTCATTTCATGCCTATAAGACATGCTGGGACTTCCTATTGTGGGAGGCCGTATTGTTGGAGAAACATGGTAGCAGTCCTATTCAGGCATCCTTAATGTACTATGCAAATATTTTTCTTTTACTGCAAACTGATTCTAAGGAAGAAAATGCTTCCTTCATGTTTGAAATAATGAAATATTTTAGAACTTCTTTGAAGCAAATTTAAAAACCACCTGAATGAGCATTTATGTATTCTAATACTGACCACTTGATGAGGATTTGCCAAAATGTTCCTTGTGACTTCTAACAGAGCTTGATGTAGAAAGCACTTTCACAAACATGTCTTATGGACAGTATCCAGCAGAAAGTTAGTGGATTCTGTCGATACTGTATTCTTTTGCAAAGGGATCAGTTTTGCCCTTTGCAGTATAGAAATGCACAAATGTGTTGGATGCAATTTCTCTTTAAGTATACAAAGAACTGTTTTGCTGACAAGGGTGTATGCATGACTCATGATTATTCTTTTGTTCTATGTGCTATGGAGGTAAATGAAAGCTTAGGAAATGAAAGATTAGGAGGGATCTTTTTCTACATTCTAGGGTGGTACGTCTTTTCTGCACAACAGTTCCTTCTGCCCCCCACTGGAATATTTAAATATTCCTGGAATATTTAAATATTAGGGCAGAAGGAAATAGTCCATTTTCTGACTGTCTGCAAAGATAGGTGTAGGTATAGATAACATAGAATTAGAAGAAGAGACTTACTACATTTTTTTTTTGTAAAAAGAAAATTAACACTTTGGGCTGACTAAAGTTGTTTCAACATTTCCTGTCAAGTTGATCTCTTACTCCAGGGGAGATAATCAATGGAAAGGGTTTTGTCTTGTGTGAGGAATCACAAACAGCCATTCAACTTGAATACTTATATCTTTGGGGTAAATTGTTGCTTTAATTCAATGATTAGAGTTAAAGCTAACAGATCTGGGCTACAAAAATCTGTTTGGTCACTAGATGGATGGGCGGAAAGCTTCAGAATTTAATGCACCATCAGTGTTACAACATTAACAACAATTAAGATACTGAAGTCTTCTATTTCATTACCCATTAGTTATGTTTAAACTCCTGCCTCAAAAATACTTCCAAAGTTAATTATATGTCCTTTCATTTCCTATAATTTTAAAAAAAGAAATAATTCCCACTATCAAATATAAATGAATCCTTTCAAAATTGTTTTTTTGTATTGATACCTACTGATCAGGTGAATCCAACTGATTTCATTTATGATGTCTTCTCATTCACTAGTGTTTTGTGAAGCTATGCACTTCTATCTTAAAAACCACTTGCTGGATCTGAGCAAAACACTGATGACAGGCAGAAAACAGAGGAAACATTTTAAGTTGTTTCTTTGACACAGTGTTTAACATGTACAACAGAGGCTTGTCTATCTCTATACCAGGGCATGTTAGATAAATATTGCTGCATAAAACATAATGTTATCTTGATAAACTCATATACTGTTTCATCAGTTAATATGAATTTGATTTGCAAAGCTCAAAAAGGTTGGCTGCATTCAAAATACAACCATTCCCAGAAATTAATTGCTTCTATAGGAAAAGAAAAAAGAAACAGAAATTGATAACTGCCTCAGGATTATCAAAAGGAGGGAGAGATATCTCTCGCCAGAGAAATTGCAGAGCCTGCAGAATAATTCAAACTGTTCAAGGATTGGTACCAAAATATCTTGAGGCTTCAGAGGAAAATTGCAATGTTTATATAAAATGTTGTGAGCTGCCAAGAATCAGTATTTAAGATAGGTGGCTATATAGATCCTGTAAGTAATTGTCAGACTCAAAAACCAAGACGTGTTGATTCTTTCAAGCTCTTTATTGTTGCATACCTTCAGACAGAATCTTGCCAAAGTGGAGCAGTCTGCTATTTGCACCTACCATTTACTGTATATAAGAATCTGAGCTACTAATGGTTAAAGCAAATTTGTAGAGGTAAACAGTGATGTCAATGGAATTAAAGGTGGCGGGACTTAGATCTCTCGTGGGTGCAAAGGGATTTGAGACTGATGATGCACTTCACTCTTCCCTGGTCAAGTGATCATCTCCTGATTAGGTTCCTTATTTTTTTCATTAATTTTTCAGAGCTTAGCGCATGAAATTGAAGAGAGGAGTTTTTCCCTGAGACAGGCAGAAGTCTTAAGCCCTCCCTTTTCTCAGTTACTTTTTCCAGGGATCAAAAAGCTGCTTCATAGATTTTACTGTTCCAGACGGAAAATATAGATGATCACACAACTTGAACCTCCCAGGTTCTTTGATGTCCTCTGTATTCAAGAAGGCAGAGATGGGGGGGGGAAGGGAGGGATGAAAAGGACGAATAGAACGAGTATGAAAGACAGATGCAAGATATGGAGTGGTGGATGGGCACAGGGGAGAGACAGATAAGGGACTATACCAAGCACCCTACTAAGATGTTCAGCATGTGACCACAAAACTCTTTTTCAGCATTCCTGCTGAAGATTTAGTCATTTTTAATCACAGCATAAAAGAGTGATTTCTGGTTATTAATTTTTATTAGTCAATAGCTCAAATAAACTTTGCTTATGTTATTGGACTTCTTTCTAAGCTGAGTTGGTAGATGAACTAGGAAAACAAGTTCTCCAGAGCAGATGTTCTAACACCAGACTTCTGAGAACATGTTAAGAGAACAAAATATTCAGGTGATTGGTGAAACTTCAAAAAGTTCCCCTTATTACATTTATTTTGAGCACCAGTTAAAATGGCTGGTATTATGATTTTGCTCTGTGGGTAGCCAGAAAGACTTTGTAGAGGTAAATAGTGAAGTCAAAAGTCTCTCGCTGACACTGTTTTACTAATGAAAAGACAAAGACAAAATGGAACATGATTGTTCTTCAAACTGCCATTGAGAACAAACACATCAGACAGAAGGGGGAAAAAGGAAAACAGCTGGGGACCAGCTTCTTTGTTTCTGTCTTCGAGAAGAAGAAAAGCAACATACCAGAAATCTCAGGTCAAATTCAGCTGCTTCAAGGAATGACAAGGTTCTCCTGTGTGAAACAGGATTTCTTCACCATTTAGACCAGTGGTCCCCAACCTTTTTTGTACCAGGGACCAGTTTCAAGCACAAACACTTTTTCAAGGACCGGGG